GTAAAAGGCATGGGAGCTGGTACATGGAATACTTTAAACAGGGGGAAAAAATAAAATACCATACAGTGGGGAGATGATCCCTTTAATGCAACTTCTGAGGGAACATGGAAGAAATACCAAACCTTTAAATTATATGCCTAGGATATGCTTTTAAACTGTTGTGGTGTTATTAGTATGATTTTCATGGACAATTTCAACTACACAACACTGGCATAATAAATTTAACAGCGTTACGCCAACATGAATTATTTCATCTTAAAATAAAAAAAAAAATTTTAAAGTAGTTTTGGCTGCAAAGTTGATTTTTTATCAATTGCTAATACGCTTAAATTGACTAGTGGAAGTAGCTGCATGAAAAATTACTTTAAAAAAAATTAAAGCTAAAGCCCTCAACTTCATACAATTTGGACAGTGGCACAGCAGTAGTACAACACTTAGCATAGCATTATTTGTAAGCGTATCTGTTTTACAGTACGACATGGCATTGACTACAAGTCTGATAAAATGTTAAACTAAGTGCACAAAAGCAGTTGAACACCACAACCCTACATTCCCCAAACTTCCTCACATCAATTATCCACAATTATTCCCAAAAATATTCAACATGTAGAATTCAGGTATGTGCTTGATAGAAACTGGCTAGTTTCAGGACAGTATTGAGCATGTTTTATAATACATTTAAAAATAGAATGTGCGTCCTTTTTCAGGGGGTGCGGGATCATATGACACTATGATGCTCAACGAACAGATGTCGAGTATATGCAACGACTCTCAACGTAAATTTTTGAAAATATGGGAGCCGTGGTTGCAATATGCCTTTCCCACACTCCCCCCGGCCAGTGTGGGGAGGTAAAGGAGTTTGGTATTGGCGCTCATGGACCCCTGCTCTTTGGTGTGTGTGTTTTTTTTGTTTTTTTGTTTTTTTTTTTTTTTCCTCTGCTCTTCTTCTCTCTGTTTCTGTTTGTTTTGGTGTGACAGTGGACAGCTTCTTTAGCTGCGATAGTCAGAGTTTCACTGATGTTATTGTAACTTATGTGCCATTGATAGCCCCTGCGTGGGCATACGTTTTGCCTTGTTGGAATTAGAGCGTTGTCTTCTCTATTATGCCTTTTTTATCGGTTTGATAGCCCCTGTGTGGGTGTGTTTTGGTGCCTCTGTTTTCTACTGTTTAAAATTAATAAAAACCATTGAAATACAAAAATAGAATGTGCTATCTGAGAGACAATAGCCAGTGGCTGGACAGTATGTAAGTTGCTTTGTCAAGTCGCACTAGAAACAAAGAGACAAGGAAGGTTTAAGCTTAAAATAAACATTGGCATGTTATCTAAGAAATATTAGCCACAAACATTTTTGAGTGCCAGAACACCCGAATAGGCAGAAAAATTGGAGGCACAACATAGGATTTTTCCTGCAGCAAACAATAAACATTTGGCCGCTGAGGTCCAGTTGTGGAAACATTGTGTGGCACTTTTACAGTGGTGGAGAATGGAAAAGGCTGCAAACTTTGAGGAGCAATGCAGGATGTACCCTGCAGCAAATATTAGAAATTGGAAAAAGCTGTTAATAATGACAAATATGTTTGGGGGTGCAGATGACAATTAAAGGTTTAGACTGTAGCTTCAGCAATGGATGTTTTGTAATAATTGGTAATCCAAGACTAGTTCATTGTAATAAAAGTCCCACCCCAGGGGACAAAACCTCCTGATGCACTGAAGGCCCTCTCAGACAACACACTGTCTGCAGGACAAGTCAGAAGCTCCAACCTTTCTTTGGATCAACTGTGGGTATAGGATTATAACTTTTTTTTATTTTTTTCAAATGGTTGAACTGGATGGACTTTTGTCTTTTTTGCAGCCAGACTAACTATATAACTATGTAATTATAGAGGTTCTGGTCAGTGGTGGACATCTAATAGTCTGTATGGTTCTTACTTCACAGTTTGTCCACATCAGCACTGGACATGAGTAGTCTGCAGGGTGGTTGAGACATTGCCTGTGAGCTCTGCCAGCAGCTGAGACTGGTGCTGTGTGTTTAAAAAATTCTGAAAAGTAGGCGCTGCCACAATTGCTTCTATTTTCAGACATCAGAGGATGGGAGGCATGTTGGACTTTAGAGGGGATCTTGTCAACTCGGCATTGCCAGTTCCGAGGGCCATTTCTGGAATAGAAGAACAGAAGAAGAAGGCACATTAGCAGCAAACAACCAGCTACTCTGCACCTGGAATAAAGCAAGGCTTTGCCAGCCACTCAACTACATCTTGAATGCACTGTGACTGTAAAGCTAGGCCCTTCTTGATTAGAAATGGCATACCTGACCTGCCTCTAGATATTACAGCCCAACAACTGTTTTGTCCTGCATAAAGGGGATTGCCTCAATTTCATGACAGCCATGGCAGTGGGGAGGATAAATATGTGGTGTTTTGGTGCACGCTGCTGTACCGCACAAGTATGCAGTGACATGCTGCAAGCAAGAGTACGCTGCGTAACCCATAATAAAAAAGGCACTAGCACCAGAAAATAAAATACAATATACCTAAAAAAAAAATACATAAACAACCTTGAAGCACTACTCCCCAATACATTTTGTAACCTAGTAGAAAATTATAAAATGAATAAACATGAAATAAAAGAAAAACCCAATAAAATAAAACAATAAAAAAAAAACAAGAGTTCCAACAGCTAAATAGCAACTATGTTTTGCTGACACAGGCAAAAAGGTAGGCCTAGAAAGGACTGTTGAGTCAATGTAAATGTGAACACACGTAGGGGTACACAATAATATGTAGCCCCCCACACTGATCCACAGAATTTAGGTGGCTGGGACATAACAAAACCTCAATTACTGTCCCTTTTAAGCCAGTTTAGGAAAATAGGAAGTTTCATCACTACACCTTGGTATAGTGATAATCTTGTCATTTATTTGCAGAAAGTAACAGGCATCACAGTAGCTAAGTGGTTAGCATGCCTGCCTGGCAGCGCTAGGATTAGTAGTTGGGATTTGTTGGTTCGAATGCCAGCTATGACACCACCTGCCTGGAGTTTGCATTCCTCCCACACTCCAAAGACATGTTGGTTATTTGGCTCCTGGTTAAATTGGCCCTAATATGTGAGTTAGGGGACTGTAAGCTCCTTGAGGGCAGGGACTGATGTGAATGTATAATACATATGTAAAGCACTGTGCAAATTGATAGCACTACTTAAGAACCTGTAATAAATAAATCACAAGTTGACATTTTGGAACCTTTCACTCTGCTTTGAAAAAGAGACACTGTGAGGTGCCAAATGTCAGCTTGTGGTGCCTGTTGCTTTATGTGAAAAAAAAGAAATGATCACTATACCAAAATTTGCTAGTTAAAAATCCTTATTTTCCTATGACTGCTTGGTAATGTAGTCCACCAATGGACTACAGCACCCTGCATGAACTGAGGGCAAGCCTGTAAGTGGTGTGACAGATACAATACACCTTCTAAGCCAAGCAGTGCATTATGCTTACAAGGAATTTGGTCTGGTGAATTCCTGCATTTATTTACAAACCTTGAATATGCAGGGTTCCTTAAACACATGATACTGGCGGACCTCATCCCTCATCAGCAGACAGGATTTTTGTGTGTTGTAATCTCATAAAGGTTGGGAGAAGGAAGCACTCAGTGCAGTGCGGGACCAAGAGATTGATACTCTTGGAAATGTTGTATCTAAAAGGACATCAGGTGCCAATTTTTCTTCATTACAATTGCATACAGAAGCATAACATAGTTAGTCTGGCTGAAAAAAGACAAAAGTCCATCCAGTTCAACCAAAAAAAAAAAAAAAAAAAAAGTTACAATCCTACACCCACAGTTGATCCAGAGGAAGGCAAAAAAACCAGCAAAGCATAAAATAAAATTTGCTCCCGCAGGGGAAAAAGTTCCTGATCCCCTGAGAGGCATTTGGATATTCCCTGGATCAACTTTACCTATAAATGTTAGTAACCAATTATATTCTGTGTATCCATAAGTAGCAGGGATATTCACTGTTTATTTTCTTTGCAGACAGACCTTGCATTCAGAGTTTTATTTTAATGACAGAACAGCTTAAAGTCTAACTAAAGAAAACCTTTATTTTTACGTTTTGGATAGAATGGAGAGGGGTTAGAACCCCATTAAGGAGATTCTCCCTATTTGTCCTGTTTACCATTATCACTGAAAGTAAAAATAAAATCTGAAATTTTGGGTTGTCCTCAGAAAAGTAATAGAGGGGAAACTTTCCAATGGGGGCACTAGTTCTAGTTACCTGGGGGTCCCCAAGGAATTCCCTTCCCTTAATTTGCAGGGATTTCCTCTCACTTCCTGTTTAGCAATGGGACAAGAAGTGAAGGAAAATCTCCTCTTTGGAACACAGATGGAAAAAAAAAATCTGACAGGGGTCATAACCCTCACTTGCTCTATCCAAATAAAAATACATATTTTTTGCCTATAGTTCTAGTTTAAAGTGGTTGTAAACCTCAATCACAAAATATAAACAAAAAGCATATTGCTCTGTAGTGTGCAGTACTAAGTATCATTTCTGTCCACTGCCTTGTTCCTCTGCTATAAGTATGAGTCACTTCTGGTGAGGTTTCCTGACACCAAGAGAAAAATGGTGACAGGGGTGGGCACAACCTGTGACTGACAGCCTCAGCTCTGTTCCTGTGTGCTGTGTGGAGGGGTGTGTGTCCCTGCCCTCCAATCAGCTCTCACAGCTCTCCTCACTGATGCAACTTTAGCTCATCTTCCCCTGCTTTTCAAAGCTGAGAGATCCCATGTAAATTCTGCACTTTGAATAGGTGTAGTGGAAAGACGGCTGAAGATAAACAGGTACAACTTATGTAGGAGAATTTGTTTCATCTCTGTGTATCACCTGGGGACAGTCACTTCACTGGATATATGTGAGGGTTTACAACCACTTTAAAGAACTCCATTTGTGATTCAACTTACAGGCAACAAATGCAAAACTGCAATAAGGCCTTGCTTTAAAGCGTTACTAAACCCAGGACCCTGCATTCACTATATCAGTCTATTTCCCGTTAGTAAATCCACCCCAGTGGCTAGTATACAGCTGCATTCAGATCTGTAGAAAAAAGACATACAGCTCTAGATGCTACACTGTTCCTGACCATTAAAGTGTTACTAAACTCAGGACCCTGCATTCACTATATCTGGTCTCCCCGGACCCTGCATTCACTATATCTGGTCTCCCTGGACCTTGCATTCACTATATCTGGTCTCCCTGGACCCTGCATTCACTATATCTGGTCTCCCTGGACCTTGCATTCACTATATCTGGTCTCCCAGGACCCTGCATTCACTATATCTGGTCTCCCTGGACCTTGCATTCACTATATCTGGTCTCCCCGGACCCTGCATTCACTATATCTGGTCTCCCCCTGGACCCTGCATTCACTATATCTGGTCTCCCCGACCCTGCATTCACTATATATCTGGTCTCCCTGGACCTTGCATTCACTATATCTGGTCTCCCCTGGACCTTGCATTCACTATATCTGGTCTCCCACAGTACACAGAACATGGAAATGCAATTATTTTAGTAAAGATAAACTGCTAAATACCTTTTCTCATCAGTAGTAAGAGCAGTCTTGTGACTTCTATCAGTGTCCAGCCGAGCACATGTTAAAGCTTGTAGGAGGCGTTTTCATTCTCTCACTGCCCTATGAGATTGCATAACACCTGACCCTTTGTCTGGACAGTGCTGATTGGCCCTGTGCTGGTCACATGCACCCTCCCAAGAAAAATAAAAACTCCTTAGCAGTACACATCAAACTGGGCATGTGTAGAGTGTTCCCAATGCTGTGTTCTATCATGAGATGAAATGGGGAAAGTGGAAGAAGGGGAGGATCAGAGAAGACAGGATCAAACATCCTTTTTACACAATACAGAGGATTAACCCCTTAAAGTGTTACTAAACCCACAATAGTAAAATCAGTCTGTATATGCAGTAAAGCATGCTTGTTATACTCACTGTGGAACCTAAGGGGCTAATCCTCTGCTTTGTGTAAAAAGACCATTTGATCCTGTCTTTTCTGCCCTTCCTCTTGTTCAAATGTCCACCTGATAAGACAGACTGAACCCGTAGCCATATGCACATGCTCAGTTTAGTGTGTATTGCTAGAGAGGTTTTTTTGTTTTGTTTTTTTGAGCAGAAAGAAAACTCCTCTTACAAGCTTTAACCAGTGCTCTGCTGGACACTGATAGATGTCACAAGACTGCTCTAACTGCTGATGAGAAAAGGTATTTATCAGTTTATATTTACTAAAATAACTGCATTTCTATGTTGTTGTGTACTGTGGGAGATCAGATATAGTGAATGCAGGATCCTGGGTTTAGTAACACTTTAACCACTTGCCTACTTGGCACTTTTACCCCCTTCCTGCCCAGGCCAATTTTCAGCTTTGAATGACAATTGCACGGTCATGCAACACTGCACCCAAACAAAATTTATATCTTTTTTTGAGACACATAGATCTTTCTTTTGGTGGTATTTAATTACCAATCTGTTTTTAATATTTTCTAAACAAACTAAAAGAGACTGAAAATTTTGGCAAAAAAAATGTTTTCTTAGTTTCTGTTATAAAATGTTGTAAATAATTAATTTTTCTCCTTCACTAATGTGAGTGAGTATAACGAGCATGCTTTACTGCATATACAGACTCATTTTACTGTTGTGGGTTTATTATTATTATTATTCAGGATTTATATAGCGCCAACAGTTTGCTCAGCGCTTTACAATATAAAGGGAGACAACACAGCAACAATACAGTTCAATACAAGAGGGTTAGGAGGACCCTGCTCCTTGGAGCTTACAATCTAAAAGATTAGTAACACTTTAAAGGGGAGTTCCACTCACGCTGTCAAAAAATAAAAGTCAGCAGCTACAAAAACTGTAGCTGCTGACTTTTTAAAAACAGCCACTTACCTGTCCCTCGGTCCCCCGGTGTGTCTCCTGCAGCCCGTTTCACCGGCCGTCTTGTATTCAGGGCCGGCATCCAGGTGGGCACCCGGCTGTGATAGCTTGCGGCTTCACAGCCGGGTACCCACTGCGCATGCGCAAGTAGCGCTACGCTTCATGAATGGTCCTGTAGTCTTCTGGGACCTGTCAAGTGTCCCAACAGACTACAGGAAGGGAGGGAGGGAGGACACCTTCCACTTCCGATGGCCTAGGTGATCAGACCGGAAGTGGGTACCTGTCAAATTCGGGTACCCGCTCCCCCCTGCCCCCCAAAATTGCCAATCCTTATTGGGGAGTGGGGGAGCAGTCCTTAAAGCGGAACGTCCCCTTTTGGGTGGAGCTCTGATTTAAGGTGTCCCTTTCAAGATAAACTTTATAGAAAAATAAAAAACTCTGTATTGAATGGACCCATTTTATTAGAACTTTGTAATTTAAAGGCTTAGCAAAGTTTAAGTTTTGGGTGACTCATGTCATATTCCTCCTGTGACATCACTGGAGAAGTATTAAAATAAGACAAGGGTAGAATTAGAAATCCTAAAGTATCTCAGGGCCTTGGGATGACATTTTTTTTTTGCTATGTAATGTTGAATTTACATAATGCAGAAGTAGTGTAACCTGAGCAAAATGTGTATGAGAAATTATAACTTTTTCAGCTTTATTCTAATTGATAGAAAGCCCTTAGCACCGTGACCTCTGTCCCAGAGAAAATTACATTGACAATCACTAATAATAAGCGCTAAAAGATTGTGAAGATCCTGAGCTTAAAAGTAGAGCGTGGTTGGCCACATCTGTACTTGAATCATTTTGCTGAACTATCCCCAAAGACCAACACACTCCCTCTCTCTCTCTCTTTCAATTCCTTCTGCAGTTAATTCACAGTAAAGCAACCACATACACAGTTATTACATACTTTATCCAAGCCTGGCACCCAGCCCAAAATGGCCAAATTAGGCTTGGCTTAATTTAAATGTTTTGAAGCCAGTCATATTTGAAATGAGACCATGTAATTATATTCTATTTCCCATTCCAATTCACTTGCAGTGTTAGTTACCTTCCTGCTTCTGAATCTCATTCAGCTGTGGGCAGGCCAGTCTATGCATATATTTTAAGCCCCTAGGATTAAAAATGTACACACGCAATACAGCACCTAAATCTTGAAGTGGCACTCAATTTTATACGTTGTCACTTCTTAAATTACCAAAACTTTTTTTTTTCCTCCCCTCCCGTTAATCAACAGCACAGCAAATACTCAACAGATGATGAATCTGCTTACCTAGGGACGGACATTGCTCCCAATATCAAACTTTACTTCATTTCAAAGATTTGTTTTCCTTTTGCAATTTGTGGCGTCTAAATCAGTGACAAATTTGCATTCGGAGTCCTTGTGTATAGCTACATGAATACAATGAGGCGTGCGCATGACCATATGTTTGCATTGTTGATAGCTTTATATTTCTGATAGGTTCTGATGCATATTAATGAAATCTCTATGCGTGTTAATTTAACAAGCATAAGTCATTTTTCTAATAAAAATGTTAATTACTTGCATGTTTATTTGCAGTTTTCTCGATGTCGCTGGCATTTGTAATGACACATTTGTCTTGTGCTTGGAGTTTTGCTGACAGAGTCAACCAGTAATGGATTTAAAAGACCACTAAAAATAAAATACAATTTGATTTGAAGGGCCACAAAATTTTTTTTTTTTTTGTAAAATGTCAGTTTTGCTGTAGCAAATCCTACAGCAAGAATGAAAAACACATACTAGACCCTTTTGAGTCTGGTATGGGTTTTAAAGGGGCACCTAAAAAAAAAAAAAAAAAAGGTGAGGTCCCCCAGGAAATCCATACCAGATGCAAAAGGTTTTTAAGGGGGACTCCATGCAAAACAAATGTCTAAGATAAATCCATATGAGCCCCTTAATCCAAGCCCACAGTCTGACTTGCCCCATGCTATGAATTTATACTCATGTAAACAAACCCACATGAAAGAAAAATATATTTGAAATAGATTTTAAAAATATTTTTAAAATATATTGACGTATATTTGAAATGCTACAGTTTTGGCCATATTCAATATATATTTAAAAATATATTTAAAAAATAATACAGTGGGGCAAAAAAGTATTTAGTCAGCCACCAATTGTGCAAGTTCTCCCACTTAAAAAGATGAGAAAGGCCTGTAATTGGCATCATAGGTAGACCTCAACTATGAGAGACAAAATGAGAAAAAAAATCCAGACAATCACATTGGCTGATTTGGAAAGAATTTATTTGCAAATTATGGTGGAAAATAAGTATTTGGTCACCTACAAACAAGCAAGATTTCTGGCTCTCACAGACCTGTACCTTCTTCTTTAAGAGGCTCCTCTGTCCTGCACTCATTACCTGTATCAATGGCACCTGTTTGAACTTGTTATCAGTATAAAAGACACCTGTCCACAACCTCAAACAGTCACACTCCAAACTCCACTATGGTGAAGACCAAAGAGCTGTTGAAGGACACCAGAAACAAAATTGTAGACCTGCACCAGGCTGGGAAGACTGAATCTGCAATAGGCAAGTAGCTTGGTGTGAACAAATCAACTGTGGGAGCAATAATTAGAAAATGGAAGACATACAAGACCACTGAATCTCCCTCGATTTGGGGCTCCACGCAAGATCTCACCCCGTGGGGTCAAAATGATCACAAGAACGGTGAGCAAAAATCCCAGGACCACACGGGGGGACCTAGTGAATGACCTGCAGAGAGCTGGGACCAACATAACAAAGGCTACCATCAGTAACACACTATGCCGCCAGGGACTCAGATCCTGCAGTGCCAGACGTGTCCCCCTGCTTAAGTCAGTACATGTCCAGGCCCGTCTGAAGTTTGCTAGAGAGCATTTGGATGATCCAGAAGAGGATTGGGAGAATGTCATATGGTCAGATGAAACCAAAATAGAACTGTTTGGTAGAAACACAACTCGTCGTGTTTGGAGGAGAGAGAATGCTGAGTTGCATCCAAAGAACACCATACCTACTGTGAAGCATGGGGATGGCAACATCATATTTTGGGGCTGTTTCTCCACAAAGGGACCAGGACGACTGATCCATGTACAGGACAGAATGAATGGGGCCATGTATCGTGAGATTTTGAGTGCAAACCTCCTTCCATCAGCAAGGGCATTGAAGATGAAACGTGGCTGGGTCTTCCAACATGACAATGATCTCAAACATACTGCCCGGGCAACGAAGGAGTGGCTTCGTAAGAATAATTTCAAGGTCCTGGAGTGGCCTAGCCAGTCTCCAGATCTCAACCCCATAGAAAATTTTTGGAGGGAGTTGAAAGTCTGTGTTGCCCAGAGACAGCCCCAAAACATCACAGCTCTAGAGGAGATCTGCATGGAGGAATGGGCCAACATACCAGCAACAGTGTGTGCCAACCTTGTGAAGACCTACAGGAAACGTTTGACCTCTGTCATTGCCAACAAAGGATATATAACAAAGTATTGAGATGAACTTTTGATATTGACCAAATACTTATTTTCCACCATAATTTGCAAATAAATTCTTTCCAAATCAGCCAATGTGATTGTCTGTTTTTTTTTCTCATTTTGTCCTCATAGTTGAGGTCTACCTATGATGCCAATTACAGGCCTCTCTCATCTTTTTAAGTGGGAGAACTTGCACAATTGGTGGCTGACTAAATACTTTTTTGCCCAACTGTATATATGTATTTATTGAAATATATTTTGAAATATATTGAATACGGCCAAAATTATAGCATTTCAAATATATGTCAATATATTTGGGAAGAAATGTTTTAAATTACCGTATTTTCGGTCCATAAGATGCACTTTTTTCCCCCCAAAAAAGGGGGGAAAATGTCAGTGCGTCTCATGGAGCGAATATAAAGCGGCCGGTCCGGTATTTCCGCTGCCACCATGTCAGAATACCGGGCTGGCCGTTGAGCTGTTCTTCGGTTCAGTGCTGTAGTCTTCCCGCGCCGGCTTCTGTGACAGCCAGGTGCCCACTGCGCATGCACGAGAAGCACTGCGCCTTGTGAATGGTTCAGCGTCTTCTGGGACATATGACAGGTCCCAGGAGACGACGGGGGCCATTCACAAAGCGCAGCGCTTCTCACGCATGCGCAGTGGGCCCCCGGCTGTCAAAGCCGGGTGCCCACAGTATAGGAAGGAGAGCTCTGCAGAAGTGGAAGTGTCAAATTCAGGTACCCGCTCCCCCTCCCTCCCTAAAGGTCTGCAGTGTCTGGTCATGCCCTGTACTGTCCGCAGTCTCTAGTTATCCACTGTACTGTCCACAGTCTCTGGTCATCTCCTGTACTGTCTGCAGTCTCTGATCATCTCCTGTACTGTCCGCAGTCTCTGGTCCATCTCCTGTACTGTGTCCACAGTCTCTGGTCCATCTCCTGTACTGTGTCCGCAGTCTCTGGTCCATCTCCTGTAGTATGTCCGCAGTCTCTGGTCATCTCCTGTAGTATGCCCGCAGGTCTCTGGTATGCCCGCAGTCATCTCCTGTAGTATGCCCGCAGTCTCTGGTCATCTCCTGTAGTATGCCCGCAGTCTCTGGTCATCCTCCCGCAGTCTCTGTAGTAGTATGCCCGCAGTCTCTGGTCATCTCCTGTACTGTGTCCGCAGTCTCTGGTCATCTCCTGTAGTATGCCCGCAGTCTCTGGTCATCTCCTGTAGTATGCTCGCAGTCTCTGGTCATCTCCTGTAGTATGCCCGCAGTCTCTGGTCATCTCCTGTAGTATGCCCGCAGTCTCTGGTCATCTCCTGTAGTATGCCCGCAGTCTCTGGTCATCTCCTGTAGTATGCCCGCAGTCTCTGGTCATCTCTTGTACTGTGTCCACAGTCTCTGGTCATCTCCTGTACTGTGTCAGCAGTCTCTGGTCCATCTCCTGTACTGTGTCCGCAGTCTTTGGTCATCTCTTGTACTGTCTGCAGTCTCTGATCATCTCTTGTACTGTGTGCAGTCTCTGGTCATCTCCTGTAGTATGTCCACAGTGTCTGGTCACTTCCTGTACTGTGTCTGCAGTCCATTGGTTCAGAATATTTTTTTTCTTGTTTTTCTCCTCTAAAACCTAGGTGCGTCTTATGGTCAGGTGCGTCTTATGGAGCGAAAAATACGGTATATTTCAAATATATTTTTCTTCCATATGGGAAGGGTCAGGGATAATGCTGACATCACCAAGCAAATGACCATATTTAGGAGATTACACTGACTAAGTATGACCATTGCCATACTTGGTTAATGACTTCACCAGGTATACCCTGTTTCTTTGCTTACATTGCAGATGACAGCTCTGGTAGTTGTCATTCACCACAATCAGTCATCAGGATAAGAAGTGTCAGTCGGTCAGCGTATATTTTCCTTTGGCAAAACATTTTTTTGTGGGATCCCCTATTAACATCTATAGCAGACCCTCATCTAGAAAAATGGTCTAGCATAGATGAAGGGAATCCCTAGCCATTTGTCTACACACAGAATGAAGCAGCCGGGATCTGTTAATGATATCCCTGGGTATACTCCGCCTCTTTGCTTACATTTCAGATGACAACTCAGTGAGCTGTCATTCACCGCAAGGATAGGAAGTGTCAGCCGTTCAGCTGTTTTTTTCCTTTGGTCAAAATGTTTTTTCTTTTTGTGGGGACTTCCATTAACATCTATAGCGTACCCTCATCTACAACAATGATCTAGTATTGAAAGGAATCCCATTTGTTTACAGACAAATGCAGCAACTGGGAGCTGCCTGTCAGGGATCGCGGCTCCATGCTCCACGATCGCGGCTCTGTCCCCCGCGCATGCGCATTGGCGGCAGATCGCGCCGGGACACAGGCACTAGGTCCCGGCGAGCCGCGGCTGACAGGACGCCGCGCATGCGCAGTAGGTGCCGGGGGCGTGCCTCAGGCGCCCAATGACAGCCGGGGGCGCGTCCTAGCCGGCCAATGACAGTGCAGGGCGCACTATTTAAAGATGCCCTGCACTGTCACAGATTGCCGCAAGGTCTTCCTGTGATCCCGAGTTCCTGTACCTGTCTAGTGACCCTGATTGACCCTGACTACGCTGCCTGCTCCTGTGACCCGGATTGTCCTGACTATTCTGCCTGCTCCTGTGATTGCCCGGATTGTCCTGACTACTCTGCCTGCTCCTGCGTTTGACCCGGATTGCCCTGACCATTCTACGGATTGACTTCCCTGCTGACCCTGCGTGTGACCCGACTACTCTTCGCCTACCGATTCTGTACCCCGCTTACCCTCACGGGCCCACGATCCGTTACTACCCTGCTGGGGCCGCCATCCTCTTCATATCTGGCTCTCCCGGTACCTGTCCCCAAAGGTCTCCTCAGCCACTGGTGGGCCTGCTCGGAGGTCGTGACCTGGCCCAGGACTGTTTCAAGTCCATCCCCACCATCAGGGGCTCTGGTGAAAGCACAGCCCGGGCTTAGACCCCACGCTCTGAGTAGGTCTGTCAGTTGGCAGCCTGAGGCACCACCTGGCGGATCATAACAGTACCTTGCGGCCATGACAGAGCCAGGAAGTGGACCGGCGTCCCTAGAGGATATTTGTCAGCACCTGGCAACCTTGACCCAGGCTTTCCAGAACTTCCACAGTCGCTGCGCCCGGACTGACTGGAGGACCGCATGGAGTCATTAGCTCCCCTGACTCCCCCTGCTCAGAGTCCTCCACCTGCAGAACCTCCCGCTAACCCGGTATCAGGAGCGGTTGCCACCCCCTAGCTCCTGAACCCCGCGTTCCTCTGCCGGAACGATACCGTGGTGACCGGAGCCGCTTCCGAGCCTTCCGGAACGCTTGCACCCTGTACTTTGACTTACAGCCCCGCACGTTCACCACCGAGACCGTCAAGGTGGGGTTTATAGTCTCCCTCCTTCAGGATGAGCCCCAGGATTGGGCTCACCGTCTGATGGAGAAGCACGACCCCCATCTTGACTCCGTGACCGAGTTCTTTTGGGCCATGGCCGTCTTGTATGACGACCCTCAGCGGGCTGCTTCCGCAGAGGCTACTCTATACTCTCTGCAGCAGGGCCGCCGGACAGCCGAAGAATACGCGTCTGATTTTAGGCGTTGCATGGGAGACACCAGATGGAACGATGCGGCCTTATGTCACCAGTTCCGCATCGGGCTGTCTGAGTCTCTCAAAGACGAACTAGCACGAGTAGGCCTACCTGACTCCCTGGAAAAACTGATTGAGTTGGCCATTCAAATTGACCGTAGACTAAGGGAACGTCGGCTGGAAAGGAGCAGCCAGGGTCAAAGGGTGGCATGGATTCCATCCAGAGATACAGCTCCAACCCCAGGGAACCATCCGCGAAGCACGGAAACAGGGGACAACCCGGAACCCATGCAGCTGGGATTGGCCCGTTCCCACTTATCGGTCGAGGAACGTCAGAGGAGACTATCACAGAACCTCTGTCTGTACTGCGGGGAAGCTGGTCATCAGGTGCGCTCCTGTCCTGCTAAAATGAGTAAGTCCACGCCCGTTTCTTTTACTTTACCTGCAGGAAGGGATGATCAGTCGAGTTACCTGGCCATTCCTGTGTCTTTACAGCTCCCCGGAGGAACATTGTCGGTGACCGCAATCGTTGACTCAGGAGCCTGTAGTTGCTTCATCGATCTGACTTTTGCCCACCGGCAAAAAATCCCTCTCCAGACCAAAGAAAGGGGGGTTCAACATCTTCTTGGCAGATGGGTCCCGTATAAAATCAGGGGTGGTGGACCAGGAGACACCACCCATTTTCACCACAATGGCAGACCATCACCAGGAGTTCCTCCGTTTGGATGCCATCGCATCCCCCCTTTTTCCAGTCATTCTGGGGCTCCCTTGGCTGAGGGCCCATAACCCCCAGATTGACTGGGAAAAGGGAACAATTCAATTTCGCTCACCCTATTGTTTGAGTCACTGCCACGTCACAGGATCCGTGGTTCCTCGGTTCCTCCTGTGCTTGGATGGCGACACCGATTTATCCCAGGTTATTCCTCCGGCCTACCATGACTTCTTAGACGTCTTTAGTAAGCGAGGAGCTGATGTTCTCCCTCCGCACCGTTCCTACGACTGCCCCATAGACCTCCTACCCGGATCTGAAATCTCATTCGGCCGTATCTTTCCCTTGTCCGAAACAGAATCGGGAGTACTGAGGGAATACATTGACGAGAACCTTCGGAAGGGATTTATTCGTCCATCCACATCCCCAGCCGGGGCCGGGTTATTCTTCGTAGAGAAGAAGGACAAATCGTTACGGCCCTGCATAGACTACCGTGACCTGAATAAAAAAACGGTAAAGAATCGTTATCCCTTACCCCTAGTCCCCGAGCTCCTCCAGAGATTGAGATCGGCAACGATATTTACTAAATTAGACCTGCGGGGGGGCCTATAACCTTGTCCGTATCAGGGAGGGGGATGAGTGGAAGACGGCGTTCCGTACGAGATTCGGTCACTACGAGTATTTGGTGATGCCGTTCGGGCTCTGTAATGCTCCGGCGACCTTTCAGCACTTTATCAACGATGTTTTTCGTGACTTTCTCGATATTTTCGTGGTGGTTTATTTGGATGACATCCTAATTTTTTCCCCCTCACTGGAGGTTCATCGGGGGTCACGTGATACGGGTATTAGAACGGTTGCGTCAACACGGGCTATACGCGAAGGCAGAAAAGTGCTGTTTCGAACAGCATGAAATCACGTTCTTGGGACTGGTTCTCTCTTCCGCGGGGGTCGCGATGGATCCCCAGAAAGTCACGGCGATCTTAGATTGGCCAATACCCGCCGACAAAAAGGGGGTACATCGTTTCATCGGTTTTTCCAACTTTTACAGGAAGTTTATTAGGAACTTCTCCGGTCTGGTCTCCCCGATCACGCAACTGACGAAACAAGGGGTCCGCTTTAAGTGGACTCCCGAAGCGCAGACAGCATTCGAAAAGCTCAAAGAATTGTTCACCTCTGCTCCCATTCTCTGCCATCCAGATGCTTCTCTCCCATATGTTTTGGAAGTGGACGCCTCCGAAAATGCGGTAGGAGCCGTTTTGTCCCAAAGGAATGGTACCAAGGAACTACTGCACCCTGTGGCGTTCTTCTCCAGGAAGTTGACACCAGCGGAATGCAACTATGACATTGGAGATCGGGAGCTCCTGGCCATTAAAACTGCTCTTGAAGAATGGAGGTATTTACTGGAAGGAGCCACACACCCAATCCTAATATTCACAGATCACAAAAACCTTGAATATTTAAGAACGGCAAAACGACTGAGACCTCGCCAAGCGAGATGGGCTCTTTTCTTCTCTCGATTCTCATTCCATATAACGTACCGACCCGGTACTAAGAATACTAAACCAGACGCTCTGTCCCGCATGTTTGAGGACCCCGACGACGCTGTGGTACCTGACACCATCTTACCTTCTGGGAGTTTCCTCGCTCTACAAACGGAACTTCGCTCCCGGCTTCTCGATGCTTCTGTAGGACTACCAGTTCCGTCTGGGTCACCCCTCCAGAGCCATGGTGGGCTATTTTGGAAGGAAGACCGGATCATGGTCCCAGAAGAAGTGCGAACCTTGGTCCTAGGGCACTGCCACGACCATCCAATGGCGGGCCACTTCGGGGTAACGAAAACTCTGGATCTACTACGGCGCTCGTTCTGGTGGCCAGACATGATCAAGGATTGTGAGCATTACGTCCGAACTTGTCCCACCTGTCAAAGGAACAAGCCCTCCAGGAGCAGGGCATGGGGATTGTTACGTCCATTACCCATACCCAAGCGGGCCTGGCAAATGATAGCCATGGATTTCGTGGTCGAACTTCCACCATCCCAGGGCTACACTGCAATAATGGTGATTGTCGACCGCTTCTCAAAGATGGCACATTTCGTGCCCCTGGAGAAGACCCCATCAGCACCAGAAACGGCACGGATCTTCATCAAGGAAGTGGTTAGGCTTCATGGTGTTCCCGAAGATATAGTGTCAGATCGGGGGGTCCAATTCACCTCCAGGTTCTGGAACGCCTTATGTAAATCGCT